ATGTGCATCAAGAACCAATAATGTCCAATGTATGTACCAAGTTTGAATGTAATCCATCCATAAATGACCTAGATCCAGTTCCAGAAATGCTTGATTTTTGATGATTTTTTAGCAGACATTCGGTTATTTTGAATCGGATGTTCAAACCAAAACATCTGCATATCTATTCAGTGTTCTCCCCAGAATCCATGTCAAGCACCACAGCTAATTTGCATAGCAATACATCTAATTTGCATAATAAATTAGTTTCCATAATATCAAATGTATGTTCTAAGTTTGAACAAAATCCATCTGTAAACAGCAGAGATCCAGTTCCGGATCGCTCGATTTCAGTACAAAAATGGCCGCCATTATGCCATCTTGAATAAGATCGTGAAACAAATTGACGTGCATATGTATAATATTATGTATGATGTATGCGTGAAGTTTGAATGTAATCTGTCCAGGCATGTCTAAGATATAGGGTCAGACACAGCCACAAGGACTAAAATCTTACTGTCAATATATACAATGGTTTTTTAGTTTAGAACCTAAAACAATGAATACCAATGACCATGATAAAATATTATTGTATTCTCCACCAAGATAGGGTTCCAGTTTTAATAAAGATTATTATTATTTGCAAATGAATTAAAATTGACAAACCTGTAAACCTCCAAACATATCTTGGGCGACTTCATCCATAATTCTTTTGATATCATCAGCTGTCACACCACTTAAAAGATCCTCAGTCTCATTTGCAGCATCTATAAGATACAATTCATAACATTTACGATCCAAACCCGGCTATTAAGAATGTAACTGATCCAATGATGTAGTCAAGAATGTGCAATCTGGAGTAGCTTGTAGGAGCAGACAAGTTATCTCTTTGAACGCCTTGTTACAAATTTTGTGGACATCATCATTCTCCATGAGTATTGATCAAAATTTGTAAAAATATGGTTGAGAAAAATAAATTTGGCATTCAAAGGGTTAACCGAAGTAATGTAGTTATTGATGCAAATAATGTGAATTTTGACATTTTCATTTTAAGATGCATTTAAGATTATAATGGTTTGAATTTTTATTGAATTTAATATATATATAGTAATTCAAATATGAAAATTACATGGAAATGAAAGTTTTTATAATATAATCATGCTAGTTTATGAGCTGAAAAGCAGCACTTTTTATTTTGGTTGAAACATAGGAAAATGCAAGCAGTCAGTGATGACCATAGAAATGGAAAGCAGTTTAACACACTATATGTTGGTATATCACTCGTCATGCATTTCAAAACAGACCTTCTTCACTTTCCACTTTTTCAGTTTGGGCTTCCACTGGAGATTGAGTCAGTGAGGGCGCTATGAACAGAATATTGTAATTAAATCATGATACAGCGAATATAATGTGACCTGATCACACACAATTAATAATAATAATTCATGATACTGTAAAACTTTTTAATTTTGTAGAAATGAAAATTTCCAATGATTTCTAGGGTGTTCTTAGGATTTTTTTTTCTTTTCGAACGTCATAAAATCCACAAATCAAAAAAATTCCTAGTAGTTTTAAATTAAATGGTTTGCAATATACAGCTTGGCTCACTAAGGATGGAAGAGTTGAACACTCTTTTGACAGGACATTCTTGACATTTTGCCAAGTTATTTCCTGTGATTAGCTAAAAAACAAATATAACTTTGAATTAGCTTAGTTGTACATATTTTTATTACTGGTAATCTTCAGTTAAAAATGGCCACCAGAGAAAACTTTATTGGGAGATCACTGCATGTCCTTGTTTCAATAGTAACTTTTTTCCCTTTACTTGATGGAACCTTTCATTTGGCAAAGTATCAAGACTTAATAGTGCTTTGGAATTGTTTTTTACTGACTGGATAGCCAATTCCATCGGTCTTTAACAGTTTATTCTCTGTTATAACCGGCATTTCAGGTGAATGTTAGAAAACTGAATAGACACCCTTATGAAACAGTTGTTTCATATTTGAAAACTTTTTTCAAATGAGTGATATTTCAAAAATATGTAATACAGTAATAAAGATTTCTTATTCTCCGAGCAATAGTCAATGGTATTTTCAAATAAAAAGGCAAAACTTTAATGGACAAAATCTTAAATTAGGTACCTGGTAAATTAAACATTAAAAAAACTTCCTTGATATACTTTTAAACTTTGGGTTAATTAGAAGTATAAAATAGCTTGAATCAACAAAGGTAACTTTACCTGCATCCTCCTGTCCATCTATTCCATCGCCAGAATCATCCTGAGATGTTGGGGTTTCCCTTGGTGTTGCTATGTAATCATCGTATATGTTCTGATCAATACCTTCATCAAGTGGTGGTGGATAAGGAAGATCTGCTTTGGGTAATACTTCTATCAGCAGCTATAGGGAATAAAACAGTCAGTTATAGCTATACTAATATAAGTATACATTTCTACAAATGTCAACATTAGCAGTACATCAGTTATAGCTATACTAATGTAAGTACACTTACATAAAGTAGTACATCAAGATGTTATCATAACTACTGTACTCATCCAACTTAACACTCAAGGTACTCAGCTCCAAAAAAAAAATGTTTTCTAGGGGTTGAGCACGTAGTCAAGCACCCTTCTCAAAAAATTATACAACCAATTTTAGTTCACCATGTGTCAGATTAAGAGGAATATTACCAGGTAGACGTAATTGGATACTACCATTCCTTCTGATTTATAAGAACAATCTCACAGGGTAATAGCCTACTGGTTTTTCATTCAATATACTTGAAAAGACAATACCGGTACATATTTACAAATGCATAGTCTTCTTTGGTTCTACATTTCTGTTTATACTGCTTACTGACTTAGCATATATGGTACATGTAATAGGTACAGTGAGCTAGTGACCAGCGAGTATTTTGAAGAAATTACATAATTAAGTTTTGCTGACTCATCATAATATAATAATAACATAATATAAAGTTACAGCAGCATATTTCAATTTTGTATAAGAATTAGAAAATGAATGTGACTTTTCATAAGATTATCATTTTCCCATTTGGCAATACAAGTAGGTAAATAGCTAAGAAAAATAATATTAGCCATCATGGCCAAATCTAAAATTGTATTGTATTATTATTTATACTCTTAGTGAAGGCCCAGCTGGAATATTGTTCAAGAATATACCACACACTACTGTTTTTTTGAAGATCATACATGCAAAACATCACCTCCTCACAGTAATTTGACTACTTCCTGGAATATACACGATGTGCATAAACACTGCATTATTTGGGTCTAAATTAAAATGAATCCACATGAATCCAGTTCACCATGTAGAAAAACTTATCAAATGTATTTAAGAATCAGTAAATGTGAATGAACACAATCATGTGCAAGTTATTATAAAGAAAAACCAGTGAACAATTTAGAATGAATACTCATGCATTAGAACACGTAAAACCCTAAATTCCTGATGTCATTCAAGCTGCTTTATTCTATAATGTAAGCACACAATTTAACCAAAATTACAGGTCAACTTTCTCTTAATGTTACAATTAATTAGATCATATGAATGGAGAACAGATATTTGAAAACACTACACACAAAAAGTTTCTGTTATTAACTCTGTAAATTCCTTTTTTTTTTTGTGATTGAATTAGTTCAAGTACCAATATTTTGTCTGGGAGTTCCAGAATTTATTGGGAATATGTAGGAGAAACACCTCAATTGCACTCATTTAACAGCAGTATAAAGTGTTTTCAAATATATGTACAATCTTTGCTTTACTCAACATAATTTTCATGATATATTTCAATGTCATGCATTTTTTAAAATTTATTTCAATTATACAATTCACTATCCGTTAGTATACAATGTATTCATCAGTGTAAGGCGTCCGGGATGTGCCATTCAAATTGACAGAATACTGATTATAGGTTACATAACAGTGATTTTTTTGGGTGTAGTCAGCATTGCTGAATAGGGTACCAATTTTGTATCCTGGTATAAATACTTTAACACCAAAATACAACCAGGTTAGTAAATAAAACATAATAATTTCATGTGATAGGGACAACAAATCTCAAGCAGAAATTAATTTGTGTGGCCAAAAAACAATAAATCAGAGCATATATGAGTGTTGCTTACAGAGATGAAATACTGTTTGATTTATTTCAATACACACCATAACATATATTGTGATATAGTTAGTAAATATATAGGGCATTATGTCCTTCATATAAAAGCCACAAAAACAGGTTACCCAAACCCCTTTTCATATAAAGACACCATTATATAAGAAAAACAACAGGCATATATATTAATGTCACATGTTGTACTTACCGATCCCTATACAATATATTCATACCATTGGTAAGAGCAAGTATATAAATTAAAAAGAAAGTAAATTTGAAAAACCAAATAGTGCTCATAATGAACATCAGGTAATGATGTGAAATTTCTTTCTATTTTTTTTAATCAAAATGAAAAATTAATGTATAGTTGTTAGCATAGCTATCACCTGTTGACGCTGTCATTTTGGCTATCCAAAGAAGTTTTCAGCAGGAAATGTGTCAAATCAAAATGGTTCCATGTACAGATCGTTTATAATGGGGGAAAATGATTATGGTGAATAAGACTATAGTGAATAGACTGCAGCCTATCCTGTAAACAACAAGTGTATATTGCTGTATACAAAAGTATTTACAGTACCAGTAAATGCAATTCCAATTTTCATTTACCTAACTAGTTCACTGATAACAGTTTTACTTTTCATGACAAATTTGTATTACTTTATAATTTGCAATTTTAAAAGAAACAATCACTGATCTCTTACAACACAATCTATACATATCTTTTTCTTAAAAAAAAAAGACAAGAGGTAGTCTACAATCATTAAAATGTGCTGTATAGAAACAGAATGAAAATAAATCTTTAGTAAATGATAAAAATAAAATGGTAAATGTGAATCAAAATGATGGAAAAGAAACAACTTGCCAGTTAAATATTTCTAACATTATTTCTTGTACCAGCAATGAAGAACAGTCATGATAAATATAATGAGAACTTGGTTATTATTACGGTATATATATTGAAACATGCAAAGTTGTACTTACATCTCGGCAAACAATCTGTTCTTCACGTTGATCATGACATAGAAATTCATACATCTTATAATGCTGAAATATTCTAGATAAAAAAGCAAATCAAATATGTGAGTAATATATAGTATGTGTGTCTAGCATCATTGAATACATATATGAATGTTAGTTAACTATGTAACTATGAGTATCAACTTTTGATTTTCATTTATTCTGAGTTTATTAACTTACGTTTGTTTTAAGTAATCTGTTATTGTTTTTGCTTGATTAATGTCAAAGAAATCAAGTCCTCCAGAGATATCACTGTTTTCATTCCCAATGCCAGGTAACATTTTCTTGAATTCTTTTAAATTGTCCACTAAGGTCATCTTACTCTCTGTGAAATAAAAACACATGGTCATCAATCAGGCGCATAACAGATCTGTCAAATCACAGTTGGATAACATACAAGTCAAGCATGTAAGATTCTTTGCAAAACTACTATTGCAAGGCACAGTGAGCAATAATGATAATACGCCAACCCTCTTTCTTCTTATACTTACTGTAAAGGGGGTAATTATTCACTGGGTTTTAATTTAGCTTATTTCGCTGAATGGAAAAATGCGCTAAATCAAAACGCAGTGAATATGTAAAATTTAGCATAGAACACATTATCTAAATGACAAAACCGTGAATTTAAAATCCACTGAATATGCCTGAAATGGTAAATCAGTGAAATTTAAACCCAGTGAAAATTAGTCATTTTACAGTATCTAACAGAAGAATGGTCACAACATTTATATGTTCAGTGCACTATGTCTCAACATGTACAGGTGTGTCTAATGTCTATGTACCAAGTTTCAAATCTCTGCATTGCAGATTGTGGCATATCCAATGACAAAAAAAATAATTGTCACCTGACAGGCATTCTGCCATGATCAAATATTACGGTAATTAAGTTGCAAATTTAATGAAGTTGTAAATTTCTATATACTGGTAATATTTATACAGTTATGAATGACATACCTTTAATATTTTCCAGTAGTGTGTGTAAAACGGTAATAAATCCAGATATTTGTTGTGTTGAAAAGCTCTGGTCTTTTGCCCACCAGAAACCAGTCACATAATAATCTAACAGTACGCCTTCATTCAAGTTGATATGATTAGAAGTTAGTTTAAAAATTTCGGCTAATTTCCTAAAAATAAAATTCAAATATGAATTAATTATATTATATGAATGGAGAACAGAATATGAAATTGATTTAACTATTAATACTACTTGTTTCAGCACAATATGTAAGCCAAATTGACAAGTAGGTACTTGTGCGCAGGTTTGAGCCATGCATGCAGTACATGTTTACTTGGATTTACTGATAGTATTTTTTTCAGTGTTAACTAGCTCTACACACATTATACATGTTGCATTGCACCTACAATGACATGAAAACTTTACTGATAAATCGGATATTGTTACAATTTTGGACCCTGTTAACACATCACTCACTGATGACATTATATACCAGTCATTTTGGCTATCCATGAAGTCTTCAGCAGGCGATATGTTAATAGATAATTGAATTTAAACTTCATAATGACTACCATTAAATGGATGTCAGGATTAGTCATGAATAATATTTTCTCGTTGTCTATGTATTGTGTGTATCCAAACTGTATTATATTGTAGTGTGTTTACGGCATGTTTTGCTTTCTTGAATGGATGTTTGGAAGCCTATCTTAAAAAACTAGAAAACACAGATTTAAGAGGATGTCTCTTCAAATTTTTTTATCAAATGCATTAAATACCAGGATCTCAGGAAAGATATACTCAGCATTGCCAATGCACAATTTTAATAGTAAATCACCAAAGGCACAAAAGTTGCTTGTTTTCATCAATGTAGCAAAATTTATCAAAATTTGATTGTCTTTGTGTCCCTTTTTTATGGTTTTATTACTTATTCTTCATTTTCCTCCAGTTGTTGTAACCTTTTTCATTCCTGAGGGGGATGTGTGAGTGTTATTGAAAAAATAAATAAAACAAATAAATAAATAAATAAAAAATATCCATATTTCAAGTCTAGCGTGTAATTTGTATTTTGTTTGGCCTGAGGTCAAATAAAATACAATGACGGTTTACTTTCCTTACAAATATTTGTTAACCGATATGAACTTACTTTTCCAAATCCTCAACCGTAAGTTCTTGTAACATCTGTGTCTGTGTATTTGACAGAACCTTCCATGCTAATGAACCTTCTCTTTCTTGAGCCTTTGCTTCGTCGTCCTAATTATATTAATGATATTGATAAATTGTCCTATTATTACTTGATGACATGTATGATGGACGAGTCGCAATATTAAATTTGAGATTCTTTCAATAATGGGGGGGTAAGATCAGACGATAAAGAACAGCAAAGTACTACACATCTCGTATAAACACGAGTCTATTTTTGACGTACGCAAAAACTCACCATTGTCATTGGATAAAATATTAAAATTAAATAAAATTGTCAACTGAATATTAGTTGAACGTGAACGCTATGAAGATGTCATACTAGTAGGTTCTCTCCCAGTGCGTTTTGTAATTCGATTGACAACATTCGAGTTTTCGAATTTCAGAACCATTGCTAAGCGCGTGATATACGCGCATGCCGAGTTGAGTTTTAGCTAGTAAGAGCAGACAAAACATGTAGCATTACATTTAAGAGTTTCCATTCAATTTCTCTGTAAGCCTCAGCTCCAAATCCCCTTCTTTGGATAACAGGTTGGCTTGTTCTGCTTTTTTTCGTTCCGGGCCTGGAGGTCGCCATCTTGGAATAGACTATTTGTTGCTAACGCGAACTGCGCATGCGTTAATCAAATCGCGTGAGAAGTCAGCAATGTGGAAACAATGATACGAAACAGATATTGTAATAACAACTTTTTGATTGTCGCACCGAAATGCTACTCGAGAATTTAAAACGCACGGATTGTGAAGCGAAAATAACCGACTGACCAATGAACCTTTCCGATCAATGCGTGAGCAGCGACTACAGCACATTTTCTCAGTCAATTGTTGGGGGAGATTGTGCACCAGCCGCCGGATAAATCTTACCTTCTGTCCACGCTGCGGGGGAGAGAAGCAGAGAATGCAGTAAATAAACATACAGAATGGCAATCCGCGTGAAGTTATGCTTGGTTTTCCAAACCATTTTATGTATTTTGTTGTTGAATCCTTGTTGAGGCATTTATGTCTTGTTATTATTCTATTCTACTCTATTATGGAATACCCTAGATGAATTCAGTTAGGGGATGAAAGTTAGAAACTCGGGGGGGGGGGGGGCTTTGAGAAGATGGAAAAAGACGTGTGCACCGTGACATGTAATAACAATAAACTTTGGAACAATTAATCTCTTGACTAAAACAAACAAATATATACTTTTTTTTTTCTGGAGAAACAATTTCAAATATAGGTTTACGCATAACGTCATCTCAAATCAGAGAGTCTATGATGCTCGAATCGTTGTTCGTGAAAATATCATGTAAATTCATGTGCTCTTCCATGTCATTCGAAATCATCTAGAGTTTGGCGTCTAGGCTGAATAAATTATTCTTCTATCAACTTTACTGCGGCATGAACATTTTGATTTGAAGCGTCAAAAAATGATATGTATTCATTTGCAGATTCGAAAGTTACTGCGTGGTTGCTATAATCGATATTCGGTAGAGCCGCATCTCATAAACTAGCTTGGCAAATAAGAAGTATGTGACTCTGCATAGGTATAGTACACGCCGTACAATAAATTTTCAAAGTGTATGCGTCATTTACATAAGCCATATAAAATATGTATTTTTTAATATCGTTGTTAGATACAAGTTGACAAAATGCATTCAAGTTAAAAGTTATCATTAACTAACATGATGTAGCTTCTGCATCACACTTATTTTACGACCATGTTTCTTATTTCTAAGAGCGATATGATGGTGACTGTTAAAGTGACGAATTGTGTATGCGGTATCTTTATTCCCCGGAAGGGCGGTCTACCACTTACTTACCTCCCCTTTATGTGCTGTTCTTCTGCTTCCAGAACTTGACGTGCTGGCGGCACTTCCCTGTCGAACGAAAGAGGGCGATCTTCAACAATATTCATGTTTGCAGTATATACGTGTAAATGAATCGTGAAGTGCAGATGAAAATGTGAACTGCGATGTGTGACCTACTGCCAACTCGGAACTTCTTTTTGTGTTTTAGGAGAAAAAAAAATAGTGAATTATCAATGTTTTAGGTGATTGCGAAACCCCTGTGACCGCGGAAGAAAAAGTTCCGACTTTGGCAGTCTACGTGATACTTTTAATAACTGGTTCTATAATGGGCATGCAGTAATAATGCTATTTATATTAAGTGCATTAATCATTACATGATATGCCAAGTGCAGATGTGTTACCATGGTTACGTTGTACCACTTACTTCCTGGCCACGAACTGGCTGAAGTGACATCCTCCTCGCCATCGACGGCGGTGGTGGCACAAGACCACTTACCGGCAGACTGCCCTAAAAGCGAGTTGGTTTGAATATTTACGATCACTCTATTACACAATCTATACGCTATTGTTATAGAATAATTCTGGGCGAGATATCAAGAAATAATGTAACATCAATCAGAAATTAGTATTTTGTTTTAGGGTATGCTGTATACTACTCTGGTTATCCCTCATTTCGTTGTTTGCGCATGAGTCAGGCCCCTGGGATTGCCCGGGTGGAGTGAATTTGGAGAAAACATAAGAGTGTGTCTACTCGAATCAAACTATGACGATAAGATTTTATTGATTTCTGTATTTTGTCAATTCTGTTCGTTGTATTACGCAAGATGACAAAAGATTACAAATATATAATGTATTCAATGCACGTATCTCACTATGTATAAATCAATGCTACATTTACACATCACGAAAACACTGAAAGCCACTTAGAATATACCGTGAAATTAATTCAAATATTTGTTATTCAAGAGCAAGATACTATTATTAACATTCAATTCAAGGAGAAAAACGTGTTGTTTTTTATTTAATTTAATTATATTATCATGGTGAATATTAACCAAAATAATAAAACCGAGACATTCATAATAGTGTCCACCATTTCAAAGGTCGAGTATGTATAATGTGTGACTGGTTGGATTCGTTTTTATTTGTCTCCGCTTAGGCTATGGTGAAGATTATACTGTATACGCGTTATGAATTGTGAACGTTATAATAAATCGTGTTTTAGAAATTCGCCTTATTCCGACCCCAAATGACCCAATAACCTCACTACCATATATTTTATAAAATTAAACGCATATGACGCTGTGGGTTCACGTGGCATTATGGGAACTCGATGTACGCGAGAATTCATTACATTATGTTAACCCCCAATCAGAATGCTATAATATATCATAGTCTCAGTGTTGTTGGATATATACGTCAAGCAGTGTATTGTAATAAATGGGATGGCCCTATTAGATTTATCAATGTATCACATATAGGAACTGTGCCGGAAAGAGTTTGCTACAATTTCTGATATAAGATCTGTGAGGTGAAACCAATCCTGACAGGCAGAAGGTGATTAAGTCTGAAGTTGATGGCGTGGAAACAGAAATCAAACATTAAGTGTTGATTATGCGGAAGGTATTCTCAGGCCGGTTGTTATGGAAACGAGTAACACTAGTTTGGTGTTATTTATTACACGCCGTAAATATAAGAGAGTTCTGAGTCTATACACACGTGAATGTCCGGGAAATGATAGCAGTGCCTAAAAATATAACTACATTTGTATTATAATGTTTGTGTATATTTCACAATCCTGATTAAAATAAGGATTATTCCATGCTTTCAAGCATTCAAGTTCTTCTATGGACTTCCATTTTGAAAAGCTCAATTTTTCTGTTTTTTCGTAGAAGTAGTGGAAATGTAAACTCGCAACAACCCCAGTTTGATATAAATACGCATATCAGTTTGTGTTTCCGTATAAATAAACTGTATATATGTGTTGCTGTATGAACTCATTGTTGAGATATGGACGTGCATAATAAGTAGATTCCTTGAGTAAACAAGTCTATGTTGAATGGTAAAAGTGCGAATCTTAGATATTAAAATGTCACAGTATTGTGCATGCAATAGTGAAACTGTAATCAGTGTACCCTAACTGCAGATAACCCACGGGGGATATAGACACACTGTAGCAAGACAGATGTAGACACACTGTAGTAAGTCTGACTTATACTATTAAACAAACACAAAGTATATGTAAACTAAAATACTCACCCTTCGAATACTGAGGCTACTGCCCTTCCTTGATAAACGTCTATCTGACATGTTCAATCGTTTAATTGAATAATCCCAACTTAAAGTCTGTGCTGGTACGCCAACGATTGTCGCCACCAATTAAGTTTACACACCTACTGTTATCACCTGAAAAGATACACAATTAGATATAAAAATGTGTGGCGCGGTGAACATGGTATGTGCCTGGTGTAGCGTTCGTAATAAACTCCGCAGAAATGCACCGGCAAACGTATTAACAGATGCCGTTTAATCTAATGGTAAGATCAGAAGAAAGGTTCAAATATATATTTCTCGTTATGTAACCACGCAACCCTGGTTGAACGAGAAGCACACCTGCGTGTTTGGTAGAACACAACGAAGCATACATGCTGTAGCATGTGTAGTCCACCGAGGCTATATACAGAGCGCCATGACGACAGTCACATCAAATTCAGGATTGTTCAACGAGTTACGTGGATTCAAACGATCGATATTAAAACACATTTATATAACATAGTGACGAACTCGTGGCTATATTTTACATTGTTTTGTGAAATATCGATTGAAACGACTTTATATGTTAACTATACTGTTTTGAGATAAAAAGGTCAACTATTTTAGTTATAATCTGAATTATTAATTCCAAATACATGGTAGCGTAACTCGCAACGCCGGGGATTATTTCGTGTTGTCTAGTTTTATTTATGGTTATTTCCTTTTCTGTTTGCGGCATATATGGGAAAAAATCGGTCAAAACTAAAGATGTTGACTGCCAAAGTAGTCTAGCCCAATTGATCGCTCTGGCCAGTAACGAAACCGTCTTGGTACTATGCTTAATAGTGGTTAAGACGCCCCTTTGTAGCCATCGCAAGGTTCGGGGGTTCCTATTTCAACTGTTTGTTCAGCTTGGATGAATGTCAAAGTTCCAAATTCGTCCCAACTGAGAGAAAAAAATGGAATCAATGTCGAAAGAATCCCGTATTTCCAAAACTTTCGTGACATATACGTAATAAATGAATGAATGTTTTGTTGTTATTGTTGTTGTTGAAAACTTGGTTTCCCGAGCAGAGTTGGAATTTTCGAGAAATTACGGACGCGAATGCATGGCGTTGTTAACATCAACAAATGCAAAACATGCTTTGCTAAGTCTAATATCGCCACATCACCAGACAAATAAAAACAGTTTAAGTAGCCAAATAGTATAACTATAACACATACGCACCTGTTGATTGCCTTATATGAACACAGCGGCAACAGTTATTATACAAATATGACTGTGTTTATCCATAAACTTGTCAAAATTGGAGATCACAATGAACTTCGACACTTAATCAATCCACGGCAACCAAATCGCATCAATGCTACGTCGAACACCGAACACTGCAATCAATTGAGAACAACTCAACAGTTACTTTGTGTAATGATTAACTTTTTTTCCTTACTCAACGGCGCAGTAATAAGATATTTCCAGTGGCTTATAGAATGGCCATCTACGACAGCGTTGTGTATGTGTTTCCACAGCCACCAATGACTAAGTTTTTAA